CCTAACTTGATCGAGTCGTTCAAGTAGCTTTTCATGCATGCACTAGTGTACGTGAAGTTTCGCGACACCACAAAAAAAGGGTGCCCCGTTACACCTGGTAGCACTTCGTAGTTTTTCCAACGACTCCTTGGTGTCCGTTCAACATGAATATGTTGGACGTAGAAGACGACAGCTTTCACGTCACACGTAAAGGCTATTCCCATCTGAGTGACTCAGAATGGAAGATAGTCGGCCGCATGAGCGTGCTCATAAGCAAACCCGCCATCAGTGGCATGTTGGAGCCTCTAAGCAGAGACCAGCAACATGCTGCTATCAACAAGTTTCTACAAAGGAAAAATTGCTGTAAAAAGACAGAAGATAGCCTTGCTACAACAGCAAGGCTCTCATCAGTCGATGGGCGGGCCGACGCACATGCTTCAACCCGAAACCTTGAAGATTGATATCTCAAGGTACAAGGGAACCCATGAAGATGTTAATTCAAGATGGTTCGTCGAGTTAAACGACGCCATCAAGGTCCGTCACATCGAGGGTAACGAGATGCAAGTCACCTTCGCCCTGTCCAACTTGACAGGACGAGCAAAGACTTGGGCATTAGGGATCAAGCTTCACGACCCGAACGTGTTTGAGTCATTGGAGTTCTTGAAGTCTTGGCTCAAAGAGACGTTTGAGCCGCCGAGAGCCGAGTTTGGAGCACGCTCTGCACTCTTGATAGTAAGCAAGGTTAGCGTGATATGCATGCTTACGCACAACACCTCCTCAACCTTGCGAGTCGCGTCACAAAATACCCTGGTGATGAGCACACGCTCAGCAACGTGTTCATCTATGAACCAGTAGATGGACCGGTGAAGATATGCATGTTCCGAGAGGACTTCCATGCGCTGGAAAAGCAATCGCGGATTCGGAACAATAAGACTTCAGCCTGAGAAAGTCTCAGGATAACTCGTCAAACTATCGTCCGACGAGACGACAGGAAACAGGAGGTTCCGAACCAGTGTACCTCTTTTATATCTGAAGCGTGAACTCTCGCTTTCAAAGTAACAAGCGAACGGCAATATGCCATCGATGTCATACGATTGGACACTACGCATATGAGTGTAGTGTCCCGAGCACTGCAACACGTCCAAAGACAGGACGTGAGGACCACCTGATGGCAAAGAAAGGGTCCGAGGCGTGGGTCCGACCATGTCGCTAAGCTGCGACAGCAATTCGGACCGCCAAAAAACGGACAGGGTCAGCATGGGGAGAGCACTCTGCTGATCCAGCAACGTCAAGAGAATTTGTAGGACTCTTGACGAAGATTGCTCCCAACACGCAGTATCTGTGTGTTACTGCCCCTAGTGATGAGGAGTCTCTCATTACTTTGAAGATCGAAGTGACAAGTGGAATGTCACTTCGCGCCCTAGTTGACTGTGGGGCGTCGAACAATTTCATTCGTCGCCAGTCTCTAGAGAATATTAGGCTCAACTTTATTGAGCGAAAGTTCCCTCCATCAATGATGACGGTGTGCCTTGCTACAGGCGCATCCGTAACAGTGAACAAACGTGCAGTGGTAATCCACTACGTGCTAGAAAAAAAGCAGTACGATTTGACTTCATCGTACTGGATTTGCATAAAAAATTTGAGATCATCCTCTGTCTGCCATGGCTTAGAAAGTACCAGCCGTGGGTTAGCTGGCAGCATCGATCCGTGAAGATGCCTGCCGTTTGTATATCAGATGGCCATCTGATGAACGTCTTGGAGAGTTCACAAGCGTGTGGATATACTACGAGTAATTGCGATTGTCTCACTTGTGGTACGGTCGCTAGTATGACTGCACAAGATTACAGTGTAGAAGGATGCTACACTGTGGAACCAGCTTCCGGCACCTGTGTAGAGACACAGGCTGCACCGAAGCTCACCTCTCGAATAGATAGAGTGGACTGGAACACGGATGCACACCAAGGAGGGTGCATCCGAGAAGAGAGGTGAGTGTTGCTTCGGATGAACGACACGTTACAGCGATATAGATTGACAGAGAGTCGATCGTAGAGCAAGCCTGATCGTCTAAAATAGAGTCGATCGAAGAGGACGTGACTGTGGTAGCACAACCATAGTCAGTACACTTATTAGAAGAAAGTCCTAGCGTTCCTGAGAGTAATTACTCCCGAGAGAGTTATGTTGATGGTGTGGATCCTCAGCCACCTGCGGGTGTGTTTTCCCATTAGCTCATCGAGACAGCAGATGTCTTGGCGAATGACGGATCAAATGTAGGCGCTTATGCGCTCAATCTGGTAACACTTCCGAAGTCAGCTTCGGAGGTAATCAAGCTGTCAACTCTAGAACCTAAAAAATTTTTTGCGAGACATGCGCTGTGACAAAATCAAGCAGATCTGCGTACTCGTCACAGAGGACGAGTACGTCGCCGATTTTCGGTCGGCACAAGTTATTGCTGAGAACAAACGGGTTGTCAGTATCTCATCGATGGACGATAGTGTCCTCGATATGAAGAACCAGATTGAGCGATACACATCTCAATCTTGGGATTTATTGAAGAAAATTAATTTGTACATGGATTGGTTGATTTCAGAGATGTTTTCCCTGAATCCATGCCGTGCGAGTTGCCTAAGGACAAAGGCACTCGGCATGAGATCGAACTGAAACCTGATTCTAAGTATGGTGTCATGAAGAAGTAGGTACTGCCTCGTGAGCAGGTCAGCGCGATTGACAAATTCGTTGTCGATCGCTTAGCTGCTGGTCATGTGAGGGCGAGTACATTCCGACACAGATCTCCGACCTTCTGTGTGCGAAAAGCAACAGGATGGTGGAGGATAGTGCACGCGTTCAACAAATTGAACGCTGCAACGGTACCGGCTCAGACGCCGATACCGAGGAAGGACGTAATCATTGATGGTATGTCAAAGAGTACCATCTTTTCGTCCATGGATTTGATGGATGGCTTCTATCAAATCCTTATGCGGGAACGGGATATACCCTATACCGCAGTTAGCACGCCTAGCGGCATGCTCTGGGAATGGCTAGTAATGCCACAAGGGCTCAGTAATGCCCCTGCCACGTTCAACAGATGTGTATCACATCTGTTGAGACCAGTACGAGAATTCGCGCCGAGTTATTTTGATGACGTATTCAGACATAGTCGGGCTATGAATGGAAAGTCGGATGTTGAGGTTTACAGGTACCACGTCCGACAGGTTCTTACAATCATGCGAAAGCATCAATTGTATGCAAACCTCAAGAAGTGTATATTCGCAGCAAGCGAAATACCACTTCTTGGGTGCATCGTTGGTAAGAACGGTGTACGTCCTGATTTCAAAAAGATCAAGGCGATCACCGACTGGCCTGTGCCAGTTGATGTCAAAAGTCTTCGAAAATTCCTTGGGCTAGCGGCGTATTTGCATCAGTATTCACGCAATTACGCCGAGATGACTGTATACCTCTCTCGTTTGTTGAAAAAGAACGAGAGGTGGTTTTGGAACGCTGAATGTCAACGCTCCTTTGAGGGTATCAAGCAGAGCTTGATACAATCCCCAGTCCTAGAAATAGCCAATCAGGACAGGCCATCCCATGTGGTCTGTGATGCCAGCGATTTCGCAATCGGCTGTGCATTAATGCAGTACGATCTTGAAGGCGTTGAACGCGTCGTCTGCTATCAGTCGCGTCAGCTGCAACCAGCTGAGCGGAACTATCCAGTGCATGACAAGGAACTCCTTGCCATGAGGTATGAACTCGCGAAGTTCAGAGTCGATCTATTAGGAGATAGAACCTTCATTGTTTACACTGACCATGCGTCATTACGCACGGCAGTGAACAGCCCGCACCTTTCACAACGAATGGCGCGGTGGTTGTCATTCTTTGAAGAATACAACTTTACGGTCGAGTACAAACCAGGACGACTTAATGTCGTCGCTGATGCACTCTCACGTCGTCCCTACTTTGAAACAGTCGCGAAACCCAACAGTGAGACAGTCACTGTTGCGGTTATGACGTCCTCAGTCCCATCTACAACGTTGTATGATGATGTGAGGCGGGCATACGCCCAAGATGGTGAGATAGTGAAGTTGTTGTCACATCTCTCCCAACCATCCCGAGAATCGTTAAAACGATTGTCGTCTGCGTATCAATCTGATGCAGATCGATACACTACTCGTGACGGTTTACTGGATTATACAGCCGTTTCTGGTGACACACCACGTGTTGTCATTCCAGATGATACTGATCTGCGTTTGCGGATCATGTTCGAGTATCACGATGCTCCTATAGGAGGACATTGTGGCCGAGAGAAAACATATCTCACGGTAAGCCGTGACTTCTACTGGCCCCGCCAGTATGAGTTTGTGCGCAAATACGTTCGCGCTTGCAAAGTTTGTCAACAGGTAAAGCCTATTCTTTGATCCAGAGCATCCTTGCAGCCTCTACCGATTCCATCAAAGTGCTGGTAGACCGTATCGATGTACTTTGTCTTCGGGTTTCCAAAAACGCCCACAAGAATATTGGTCTTTTTGTGTTTTTTATCGGTCCAGCAAGGTAACACATCTTGTTGCTGTACCGGAGTCAATCACAGCCCAGGGATGTGCTCGTGTCTTTAATGATACTATCTTTCGATTTCACGGGTTACCTTGTGAATTCGTGTCCGATCGGGACCCTTGCTCTGTGGAGGAGTTCTGGCAATCCGTGTTCCGTTCAGTTGGAACATGTTTGAAGATGTCAACTTCTGACCAGAAACAAATTTCCGGAAGGAACGCGTCAAATGCGTCCTCGAGGAGATACTTTGAGGGTATGTCCACTCGTTTACGAGCTGGGGTGAGCTCTTGCCGATGGCGGAATTCGCCATCAACTACTCAATGCATGCGTTGACAATGCATACACCGTTCTTCGTGAACGGCCTGCGCCATCTAAGTTTACCCGCCTTCTAAGAGTGTGACTTCTTTGTAAGGGGTGAGACTTGCTCGATCAAAAACTGATCTGATTCTTGCTCATCACCCGTCGACAATGTTGTCGACGTGATGGATGCCGATGTCGATGCAATCGATATCGATGATGATGATGACGACGATGCTGGTATATTCAGCATCGCCATTGACTACCACAGTGAGGACGATGACACCCTCACTGGTAAAGACAATTTTCTTTCAGCAGTGCACACGAAGCGCACTACTGTTGACAAGGATGAATCAGCAGAGGAATTTCTGCTGACTTGCGAAGCGGTTGTCTGCTTCGTTCAAGACTCTTTTGCAGATGCACTAGACAGACAGAACCGAAACGCAACAAACAAGGAAGAGCAAACGTTCTTTCATTTGATAGGGGAGACTTAGATTTACCGTTTACAGTAGATGTACCGAAACACGCAGTGACAAACTTGGGCAGCTGTAAATTACTGCTTAAGCAAATTGGTCCATTTCGTGTGTTGCGCCAAATGGGAAACGCATGCACGATTGAACTGCTTCTTAGGACTCGAACGCATCCTGCGTTTTACGTTGGACGTCTCTGCCCGTACTATCAGTACGAGCCCGTTTTGAGATGCGAAGAACACCTACGCGGTCGAGAGCCGAGACCACCTTCGAGTGGTCCCGTTTCAACAAGCCAGTCCGGTCGACTAGCGAAGCGACCTGCTCATGTAGTTGAGCGATGTATCGACGAGCTGCAGCCAGCTCGTCACGAAGATAACGAGTAGAACGCTCGTTCTCAATTTGTGCCTTCGCAAACGCGGCACGATCGTTCGAGAAAAACGTGCGCTAAGGAATCATTATTAACCCTTAAAATGTCATGGATCATATAACACCGAGCCCGTTCATTAGCCAAATCAATTTGCAACTGTTTCGTTTCACGTTTCAGCTACTGGACACCAAGCTGATCCGATCCTCGAGCGAAAGTAGGTATTCCCACCGCCACCATATACTTTAATGGACTCAAGCGGTGGTCAACGCTTCCTGTTGGAGCGTATGTTGAACCACCGCGACGTGAAGAGCGTCTGGGCGAGTTTTTTCGTCTGGTGGCGTAGCTATTCACCAAACTGAGACAGATGGGTGCCTCGCGCCCAGCTGGTTGTTGATGTTCTGGGTCTTGTCGAGCAGTATGACGATACCCAGCCGCTGCGTTCGAAGAAGGGCCGTCGGAAAACGACCTCCGCGAACGCGAGTACAGGGATTGTCAAGTGTCAATCCCTTCGGCCATCTCAGAAGAGTTGAGCACCCTTCAGTACGGAGAATTAGGGAGGGAGGCCTCCCTAGAGGCACGGCTCGAGTTGTCCAGGCATCCTGTACACGAATAACTCCACGAGAGACAGGGTGAACGTGCCTCTCTTGACAGTCAGTGCAACTTGTACCGTACACCGACCGGGTTGCGATTCTCAAACCTGGTCCGAGCTGCATCAAGTTCACCGAGCCATTCCTCACGGCTAGTGCACTCGATGTTATGGATGAGGGCATGCCATCCCTGCACGAGGGCTTTGCCGTCTCGAACACGGCTACCTTTGTACCACCGATGGTTGAAAAATGCATCGGTCAAGAAGTCTTCCTCAGCAGGAATAGTTTCCGTGCTGGAATCAGGTGGGCAAATATTTTTGTAATCGAATAACGCGATTTGGTACCGTTACTGGTCATGACGGCCAACCTGTCCAACTCTTTGGAAGACGGCATATAAAAGGGACTTTACTTGAGGAGCGTGGCGCAGGACATTTCGGTCCCTGGCCTCTTTATTGGTGCCAGCGTGAGCGCTGACACCATTGACACCCCGATCTTTCGAGTTACGATGGATTCGTGGTAATTCATAGGTGCATCACAATCCTCACGCGTCCTATCGTTAGATGGACTCGCGTCAGGCGAGGATTCGTCGGAACAATCGCTTGATCCGAAGATCTCGGACAAGATGCCGCCACGTTGACTGGAGCCAGTCAAGGTGGCTCTTGCAGTGTCCGCAAAGAGTGATCCCGAGGCGGAAAGTGTCGCCTTCGAGTCAAATACATCATCCGACTCGCCAGAATAAATGAGCTCAATTTCAGGCTCATCTACATTACGATTCGCGGTACCCGCTGCAGACGCAGCGGATGTACTTGTCGCACGTGGTGACTCACCACGTGTACTGTTCACAGCAGCAGGCGACGAATCACCAGCTGCTGAGGTGTGAGAAGTACTCTCTCCGTCTGCACGCATGCGTGCAGCCGCCTTTCTTGCTTCTGCAGTAGCAACTCGCTTGGATTTCGTAACCATGCGTTGGATTGGCAAAAAATGGGATTTGACGAACAAGTGCTTCCTTCCCAGAGTGATCCAACAGTGGTCAATCTGTCCCAATCAATTTTTTATAATGAACGGGTGGTTGATGGTTAGTGGGGTGAAGTAACGGGGTAGTCCGTTACATGATATTGACATCAAACGGTAGTCAACAGGTCTGTTGTTTAGCATGACAAAATTTTACTAATACTATCCAAGGTTGTTAATATTGAGGGAATATTATACACTGTTGGATAAAATTCATGTGCTGCTCGAAGATTGGTTGAGAAAGACTTATCAACCGTAGATTGCCACCAATTGCTGCTGGACGCGCGCAATAAGTGGTGAGTTGGTTATCGCCATACGACAATGTAGTTTAAAATAGTTAGATAAAAGCTAATGTTATATTGATAGCTTAAATATTTTAAGTACGGTCCTCTTTTTACCCTATACTCAACATTGTTGATGAATAGATTAGCTTCCTCTGCACGTAATAGTGTACGTTAAGTTTCGTGGCACCCAGACAAAGGGTGCCCCGTTACATCAGGTCCTTATAAAATTTCCCCACTTTGCTTATGGAGGGCTTGCATTCGTCGTCCATAGACGCGCATGGTACTGCTATACAGGTGGACTTGCTGCTAATTCGTGAAAACTTATCGCATGCTTGAATGGTAGGCGGTAGTCCGCTCTTTCTCAAGTATTGCTAAGCAGTACGTCTTTTATTATATTACAATGTAAATCCGAGCCAAGGTATTTAAATAAAAACAAACAGCTATATCTAGCTTGAAGACTCGCACGCATGTGCATCCAGTCAGACACGTGGCGCTTATCTCGATAGTAGTTTAGCAGCCATACGGACTTAAGTGGACATTTAAATCGAGATTCTTTTTGCGATTAGACTTGTTTGCTGATGCCATAGCTCTTGTATCAGCAGTGTATTAGACCGATTCTTGTAGGTGTCCACCACCCGTTTGCACGGCAAAACAAGCTGCCATTACGAAAATTGCATGGCGTTGAAGAATCAAGTTGCAAGATTGCGTAATATGTCGGTGAAGCATCGGTGGCTCGGAGAGGTCTGGGTCTGCTGCACGATGTCGATGAATGCGACATGATTAATACAGGTGTTTTGCAGGTACGAAGCATGAGCTACACGTGCTATTTAGGGCTCCGACCCATGGCCATTGGTCCGGGTCCAACCCCGACCTAGGACCCGGACCAGCTGGTCCAGGACGACCCATTGGGTCGCCCTGGTCTAAATCATATGTGTGTACCACATCATTTTATTGGATTTCCAATCATTCTCATTTGAGCTCAAGCCAATCCTTTCTAGCGACAGCCAAGGTGAGGCGTTGCCCTGGGCTTGGACACGCTGCGCGTGCGTCTGTAGATCGTGCTGTGGATGCCAAGAAAAAAATATGGCGGCTGCTCTTCGTTCATCCGCGACTCGCGTTTGCTAGAGGGATGAAGATATAGATACAAGCCGGTGGGACGCGCAAGAATCAGTAAGTGGAGTAATATTGCTGATCGAGGGCTACTGTAAGAGATGCAATCTCTAACTTGCTGTTCAGAGACTTGCGTATGCTTCATTATTGCAGATACAAGCAGGTGTGCTGCGCAAGCATCGAAAGGGGACCAACATCACTAAGGGCGGACTAATCTAAGAGGAGGAAAGAGGTGTAACGTCTGGCTTGCTGTCCAGAGCCTTACGTATGCGTCGGCGTTGGAGATACAAGCCAATGGGCCACGTATCAGCAAAAGTGAGATCTACATCGCCGATTACGTGCTGATTGAATATAACTAACGCCTGGTTTTGCTGTCCAGAGCCTTACGCAAGCTACGGCGCCAGAATTCTAGCCGCTGGGCCACGAGTGTGGCTACATAAGGGTCCTTCATCACTATATAATACGTCTAATTTCTTTTCGCGCAGTGCCTTGTCGTCTCGTGCTCACCGAACCATTGGCCACGCGTGCGGTCGTGCCCGGGTGGACGCTAACATAAATAAATCTGTTAACTTTCTATGTAGATATTGATTAGAGCGCTGAGAGTCCTTTAAACATAAAATCGTAAAGGCTTGGCAACTCAGAGTTTTAAACTCATCGAGCACCTCGCACTCTCCATTAAGGACAACATACGGCTCGCGACGTTACAGATGCTTCACCGCTAGTAAAGAAACATTTACACATCCGTTTCTAACGATGTAATAGACGATCATGACATCTTATCTCACACAATCTATTAAATTGCAACAGAGCTGCAAAATTCGTTGGTGAGTGTAGAACGTGTTTCTGTCAAGTAGACAAGTTCAATTTATGTTCAGAGTTAGATGAAGTCAGTAGATGCTCTGTACGATCTAAAAAACTTGCTACAGCAGTCAAACAAATAACTAAAGTATCAAAGTTTATTTTATCGTGGTCATTTGCAGTGATCGTGTCATCAACATTCTGTATACCTGTTCTAAATCCGTATGAAACTCTTCGTTCTTCTCGTTCCATTCCGGCCGTTTTCATCAAATTAATTTACATTTACAAACCAATAAAATCGTTCTTGATCCAATCTTTCAAACACATGAGTGCTTCTGAATTAATAGCACTCAATGATCCTCGGAAATCAGTCATAATTTTCCTTCCCGTAGAAAAGTGTCTTTCACGTGGTACACAGGTTACCGGAATAAACAAGTATGCCCGTGCCATTTCCGTTAAGCTTGGAAACGTCGAGGCTTTCGATCTACACCAAAGCATTGAATCCGTGTCGGAATCTTCCACTTCAACAATCAAATAACGGCCAATCTCGTCATCGATATCATGTGCCTTACGCTTTTTGTAGAGTCAACTAGCGTAAGAGTTTGAGTTGCTCTCTTCTGAGCTCGCTGTGGTTGCTTGGTGCTGCTCATGAGCATTGTACACTTTGGCTCTGTGTAACAGCTGATCGCGTATCTCCCATATGTTCTCGTTAAAATCTTTAGGAAATTCAACTTAATTCGAGGATCCAAGACTGTTGCAAGCTTGTATACGTACTGACCGTCAGCTTTTTTCTTGGATGCCGGCAACTTCTTCACCATAGCCCCGGATGATGATTTAAGAACTGCACCTTCACTTGAACGAAGAGTCGCTTGAATGCTCTCCAATAGCATGGAGTATACGGTTGCAGCTGCCATAATAGAGGGATACTTTGCAGATGACAACAACACCGTAGCCTAAAAAACCAAAATTGAATAAAATTAGATGTTAACACATGAGTCCCCGGCAATAATTTGGTAAATACCTCTTCTAACGGTTCAAGCATCTTAATAGATACGTGCACAAGAGCCCATTCATATTCTTCAAGCGCACACTTCCGAAGCTCGGAGCCGCTGTCTATGTAGGCTCCAAAGACTTTGCGAAGTAAAAATGCACGCTTCAATATTGCCCAAGTCGAATATTACCGCGTTGACACATCTAGTACCAGCTTCTTCGCAGTAACATCTGCTGCGACTACATCCGCAAGTTTTCTAAAGTTTTGCAGTCGCTGTGGCGAGCTGTTGATATATTACGTGAAGTAACGAACTCTACGAACAATCGTACCCGCTATCCAAAACATTTAGACAATTACCATATTAGCTCAAAAAATTGCAACAAAATATATGGAGGTTAACCTTTTTCGATTTCAATATCTCGATTCAGAAGTAGCGCATCGACAAACATCGGGTTGATGATCTCAACAATGTTCGGATTGGGTTGCTGATGAAAAGCTCCAAGTAGCTTAATACCAGCATTTGCTATCAAATTGATAACATGCGCCATACAGTCAAGCATATTGTCACTCCTAGGAAAATCCAGGAATTATACTCCGTTGCTCCAAACACATTGCAATTGTGCCGTTCGTCGAAGCATTGTCACCTGTAATGCAAAAGAGCTTGTCCAATATATTGAACTTCTCTAAAACTTCAAACAGATGATGTACAAGGTTCTGCCCACTGTGGTCTCCTTCCATCTTTACCGCAGCAACAACAAGATTCCATAGCTTTCAGTTCTCATCAATATAATGAGCGGTGACCCCCATGATCGAAATGTGATTTGGAGAAGTCAAGCAATCAACAGTGATGTTCACTTTGGTGTTCAAATGTCCAATGACATCTTCAACTGATTACACCCTGCAAATATTCACGTTAGAGGTTAAGTTAAAAGAACTATTGTATCGCACACGTACCCTTGTAAAAATGTCCAGAACATCATGTCGGATCGTATCTGCGGACGTTATTCGAGAACTTGCTGCAGGATTGCATAGCTCGAGAAGCTCGCGTAATTTCCTACATTCCACAAACTGATACGGCAAAGAATGCTCTCTAATAAGATTGATTAACGCCGTCTTTAATGTCTGTCTGTTCAGTTGGGGGTTTTGTAACTAAACAACAAGTTAATACTATAGCGAAACTAAACGTTTTTTATACATCATTGCACACACCTTCGAGTTGCCCGATTTTAGAAATGCACGCAATACACCTTGTTGCGGTTCCTTTTCGTGTATCTGATGCTTGCTCATCAAATGCTTGGCTAAGTTCTTGGTTCCGCTGGTAGCTGTACACACATACGCTGCTCTACAGAGTGCAGACCCGCCGCGATGCTTTGGGACTTGACAAACAGCTTTTCTTCTTCTTTAAGTCTTATAAAATAAGTCCACACCCAGCTTGTCTTCTTGCCACCACTGGACCTGGAATCAACTTGTAACGGGGTGAATCGTTACATAACAATTTATAAGAAATTGTTAATAGAATATAACTATAAGAGTTATATTCTCAGAATATTGTCATAACGACAAATATTCTGTAGCACTTACAAGTAGTTCCTGATTGGTTGATATAGGCCATTATATCAACCAACGAAGACGCGCCACGACAGACGCACGCAATGAGTGGTGAGCAGATAATTGATTTACACATTTGTATTTAGACATAGTTAGATGAAGATAAATAGTGATTTATTGCAGACATTAACTATTATAAATACAGTTCTACTTTTTACTCTAACCAAGTACTCGCTTCTTCTTACCGTCTTCCTCTGCACGTACGAGTGTACGTGAAGTTACGAGGCACCGCCTTATTCTGTCATCAGAATAAGTAGCTTGTACTGTCACCAGTACAAGCTTCAGGGTGCCCCGTTACACAACTTCTGTTTCCTGGCTGACACTGTCGGCGGACGCAACCGACGATGCAGATTTCATTTGCATCATTAAGAAGTCCATGACCACAGAATTTTTTGCTTGTTAGAATCCCTATTAATAATTTATCAGCCAATAGTATTTTGAGCCTCAATCATGACCGATCTCTAAGTGGAAGAAAATGACTGGAAACGGGACTCAGACCCAGATGCAGCATCGTAAATTATCTTAAAAAAATCCACATTTTTATTAAAAGAATTTTTATCTAAAAGGGACCATTGGGCCCTGGTCCGGGTCGACCCTCGACGCAAGTAGGGCTCCGACACGGACCAGTTTTGTTGGTCCGGGTCGGAGCCCTACTTGCTACTGCTTCCGAGTAAGGTGGTGTACAATTCGATTGGTGGATGTGACAAAGCGCTACCTGACACAAAGTGCGGGTTCCTACATCACACATTTTTTCATATTAAGTAAACAAGACTAACAGACCTTTGCGTGTTATTTGCTTCGACATGTGTTTTAAAAGCTGTTGTGTGGTCATGCCATGCGTCCGTCTTGTAGTGGGTGGGTAACACGAGGGAGCCGGTAGTCACCGCTGACGAAACTGAGTTTCTTGCTACTCGTACTGAGGAGGATTTGTCACGTTACCAATCGCTGTCGCACGTTCAGTGTTCCCCAGAAATCGTTAGCGCACTAAATTAACATGAACTCTGAAAGAGAGGGGTTCTGAAGTGTTGAAGGCAAATCTGCAGATCTGTAATAAGAAATCGATTGAGTGTAGAAAAAGAAGCCGGCTTGCAAGCGAATCGAAATCTACATCAAGCCCTGCGCGGTTAATACTAAAAGGTGTCCTTGACCTGCACTTTTTAGCAGAGCAACCAGATAATTTGTTGAAGCACAAATCCTCTTCGCTTGTGTGGCCCAGATACACACGTCGTCTTCGTAGTTCGAGCTCGCTTATACGGATGCGCGACGTCGGTATCATCTACCAAAGACCACATCGCATTGGCCACCAACAATGTTCGCAGTGACCGGTCGCGAGTTCATCGGTACTCTGTACTCCAGCGCCTACGTGAAAAAGGCACTCCGCAACAAGTACAAAAGCAGCGTACACATTACTCTCGTCCAGCCCATCAGTCGTACGTGTTTCGATAAGCTGTCAAACGTGACTTTCACCGGCATATTTTCTGCACTTCGCTATCATTCGATGATCCTTTGACTTTAAAAAGTCTAATCGTCATCGCTCAGTTTAAAAGTGATCTCATTAACGACTAAATGTTCAGACAGGAGATTCCCAGCGCGTCCCCAGCACGATGATCTTTCTCGGATAGAGTGGCATGTAATCATGGTGCAATCTGGAAACTAGTCCTGTACAAAGTCTTGGCCGGTCTAGCGTGCTCAACATGGGGCAAGTAGGTGGTGGTGGTTCCGATTGTCTATCGGCTCCATGGCTATATCAACTATGTGCAAGATCTATGGATTATTATTTTAAGCCAAGCATTTTTTTCGACAAAGCCTGTAAACAGTCATGTGCTATCGCCAATGCGGCGGCACCGCTTGTGAGGCTTGATCCCTATTAGCCACTTGCGCGGCCTTTCGACGTGGTCTGCGGTCATCGAAGTACCCATTACGCGTGAGGACGCTATCCGCCAAAATACCTTCCTCTTGTCTGCCTATGCACGACCCATGGGCGCGCAAGAGGCACGCCCGAGTCGTGACCTTTCCCGTTTCGGCTCCCGCGGGGGAGGGTTCCCGCCGAAAAGGATTTTTTCATCAGAAAACGGAGGTACGAACTGACTGAAGCGCCACTGCAAATATTTAGGAATCCACTTGGAAGCAGTATTGATGGGCATGCGAGCAGTGTCCTCACGAAATGATTCGGTGTCTGTAAATACATTCGGTTTGCCTTGGCGACAAATCAGGTACCGAGCCTCATAAAGTTTTCGCATGCTTGAAAATTCTGGCACCAATCGTCACTGACCGGAGATCACAAACGTGCCACTAAATTCTGCACCCATTACCTTCTCTACTCATTCTGGGATAAGGCCGCTACAACTCTTTCGTTTCTTGATGCGCCGAACTGGTCTGGCCGCCATTTTTATATCGACTGATTTAAACTGTCGTTATGACATCAATAACGCACGATGTTATCCCCAAAGCCACCGGATTTATTCACAGTCAGTACATTTTTCGTTTTGCGCCATTGTTGCCTGAATCCAGTACGCAGCACGTCTGCGATCTGCCGTAAGCATTTGCGGTCTATCGTGCGCCTTCGATGCCAAGTGATGCGAACCTTGTACATCTTCGCACTCTTCATATGTGCTATTCTGCAGGTCACAGCTGATATCGACTCGACGTCCCAAAACCCAAAGACCAGCACTACACCTGACAGTATTCGGTCTGGGTCCGTGCCTGTGAAGAGACAGCTCAAAGATCATGTTGATGACGAAAGAGATCGAGAAGACTGGCTACATCCCTTCGACCGTCTTAGTGCCAAGCTCGACCACACGCGCGCTAAGATTCGCAATGTATGGTCGAAGATCCAGCCCAAGAAGGTGCTGTCACGTACGATCAATAGCCTGAAGCAGCTTCCAAAAAAAGCGAGAATGTATGCCATTCTTCACACTATTCGATCTGGTAAGCTGGACGTTCGTCGAACGGACGAACCGGGCGCCTTGTTTTCGAACGACTTTCTCGGGTTTGTTCTACATCGTCATCACAAGACCATGTATAGTACGCCAGACGATGCGATGATACGCTTTCTTCGAATGAACTTACCTGAGGTCGAAGTGGCAATTTTGATCTCGCGCGCCAAGTTATTCGAAGAAAATGCGGCCCACATCGAAAAGGCGCTGTTTAGGCAGTGGGCTGCGCACAAGGTGAGTGCGAAGAAACTGGGGGAGATATTCATGGAGGACAGTTCGTGGCAAGTGGGCGATGAGGTGTACGTACGTGAGATCACGGACGCGTATCAGAAGTACATTAAGGACTTACGTCGTTCAGGAGCTTGATAGGGTCGTATCAATATATCGTATTTGTCTGCACGTTCATTTCGCACATATTATTTTTTTGCTTTGTCTGTGTTATTCACTCTCGTAACAAAAATCGCACTTGTCTGCACGTTCATTTGGCACATGTAGCTGTTATGTAACGGGGCACCCTGAAGCTTGTACTGGTGACAGTACAAGCTACTTATTCTGATGACAGAATAAGGCGGTGCCTCGGAACTTCACGTACACTCGTACGTGCAGAGGAAGACGGTATGAAGAAGCGAGTACTTGGTTAAAGTAAAAAGTAGAACTGTATTTATAATAGTTAATGTCTGCAATAAATCACTATTTATCTTCATCTAACTATGTCTGAATACAAATGTGTAAATCAGTTATCTGCTCACCACTCATTGCGTGCGTCTGTCGTGGCGCGTCTTCGTTGGTTGATATAATGGCCTATATCAACCAATTAGGAGCTACTCGTTAGAGCTACAGAATATTTGTCCTTATGACAAAAATCTGAGAATATAACTCTTATAGTTATATTCTATTAACAATTTCTTATAAATTGTCATGTAACGATTCACCGCGTTACAAGTTACCTCGTCCAGTGGCGCGGCTATCCCCCGTCCTGGGATACTTGGGAGCCCCGCTCCCAACTGATGATTGACGTACTTGGTCTAGTTGAGCAGTACGACGCGGAACATCCTGTGCCGCAGAAGGACCGCCGGAGAAAGTCTTCCCGGCACGGTCGTAAAGGGATTTCAGGTTGTCAATCCCTTCGTACATCTCAGTAGAGATACGTACGCGCCACCACGGGCTGGTAAGGAGGCAAGCCTCCGTAGGCGCGCGCGCAGAGTTGTTCACACAACATGGGCACGAGTCTCCCCAAGAGAGGCAGGGTAATCCTTTCTCCCTTGACAGACGATGCAGCTTGTAGCGTGCACCTGTCGGGGTTCGCTTTTCAAACTTATTACGAGCTTTGATAAGTTTGTCGTTCCAAGCGTCACGACCTACATCCTCGAGGTTATGGATGTAGGCGTTCCACGCTTGAAGTAGTGAGGGACCATCACGTTTGTGATTCCCACTGTTTCCATCGATGTTTGAAGAAAGCATCGATGAGGAATTCATGTTCAGTGCAATAATTTTTCGCGCTGGGGTCAAGGTGATGGATCCTTGACGAATCGAACAACCGTGTTCGATAACGATCACTCGTCGTCGCCGACAAGTGATCCATGACAGATTTAGGAGGCATCCATGCCTTCTTCTCAGAAGCGAGACGCAAGACATTGCGGTCCCGCTCTTCCTGCGACGTGCCGACAGAAGTACTGGCACCTCGCTGTGAAGTGGTGTCCATAAGAGAACCGACACCACTAATAGCGCCCGAGACTTGCGATCTCGAGCGCCTTCGCTTCGGCGATGGTTCATCTGATTCATCAGATGAAGAAAGATGCTGCGACGCAAAGCATCATCCATGCCACGCTTGGCAGGCGGCTTAGATTCAATCGCCGTCGATACGGATCCGTCATCCGTATCAGGAGAGTACGAGACACCGAGCTCATACTCTGTGAAGACACGAGTGTCTTCATGACGAGCGCCTGCATCACCAGGTGACACAGACTGAGTCGCTTCAGCAACCGATGAGACATCAGTTGCTGTGGTTTCTGCGTCCGCACGTCTCCGTGCGGACGTGCTCTCGGCGGCCTTGCTCGCGCACCGCATGGGCTTGTTAAACATGCGATGAAATGTTGGAAAGTGGACTCGGACCAACAAGTGCAAAACCTGTCCCAAATGATTTGGAACGAGTATCCATTCAGTCAATCTGTCACTAACGTGACTGATGGTTAAGGGGGGGTGATGTAACGGGGTGAATCGTTACATGACAATTTATAAGAAATTGTTAATAGAATATAACTATAAGAGTTATATTCTCAGATTTTTGTCATAAGGACAAATTTTCTGTAGCACTTACTAGTAGTTCCTAATTGGTTGATATAGGCCATTATATCAACCAACGAAGACGCGCCACGACAGACGCACGCAATGAGTGGTGAGCAGATAACTGATTTACACATTTGTATTCAGACATAGTTAGATGAAGATAAATAGTGATTTATTGCAGACATTAACTATTATAAATACAGTTCTACTTTTTACTTTAACCAAGTACTCGCTTCTTCTTACCGTCTTCCTCTGCACGTACGAGTGTACGTGAAGTTACGAGGCACCGCCTTATTCTGTTATCAGAATAAGTAGCTTGTACTGTAATCAGTACAAGCTTCAGGGTGCCCCGTTACACCTGGTAGCACTTCGTAGTCCGTCCAGGGACCACGTTCACATCCAACATGAATATGTTGGATGATGAAGATGACCAAAGCTTTCACGCTACGCGTGACGGCTACTCCCATTTGAGCGATGTCGAATGGAATGCGGTTGAACGGATGGGTTCGACCATGGGCATCCATGCTGTTAGCGTCATGCTAGAGGCTCTCAATAGAGATGCCCAACATGCTACTATCGCCAAGTTCTTTCAAAATGAACTTGACGCTGAACGCGAGAAAGTAGCCTTGCTTCACCAACAAGGTTCTCAACAAGTAGAGTTGTTGAGAGAACAGGGTGCTCAACAGTTTGAACTGTTGAGACAGCAGCAGGCTGCTGCTGGCGGGTCGATGCACTCGCGTCGACCCGAAACCTTGAAGATTGACATCTCTAAGTATAGGGGAGTCGAAGAAGACTCCCTCTTGAGATGGTCCGTCGAATTGGATGACGCCATAAGGGCGCGTCGCATCGACGACGGGGATATGCAAGTTGCATTTGCCCAGTCAAATCTGGCAGGACGTGCCAAGACTTGGGCACTGGGGCTCAAGTTGCACGACCCATATGCGTTTGGGTCGTTGGAAGTCTTCAAGTCGCGGCTCAGACAAACTTTTGAACCGCCTAGAGTTGAGTTCAGAGCTTGAACCGAACTCTTGAAGCTCAAACAGGGTAAGCGTGATGTGCACGCTTACGCGCAACATATACGACATCTCACGAGCTGCATAAGTTCAAATCCGGTGGATGAACACACGTTGGTTTCGGTGTTTATGCAGGGTCTTGCGGATGGTCCCGTCCAGACTCACCTGTTCAGACTTGAACTAGATTCACTAGAACAAGCCATTTCCATTGCGGAACAGGAAGACTTCAGTCTGAGACAGGCTCGCGCCAGCTCTACATCATATCGTCAACCGAGACGAAATGAAAGCGGAGGTCCAGAGCCGATGGAACTTTGTTATGTAGAGAGCGAGAAGGCTCGCTCTACGGACTACAAGAAGTTGCAGAAATGTAACAGATGTCAAAGACAGGACACTACGCTTACGAGTGTAGTGCCCCTCGTCCAGTGTCTCGCGACACTGGGCGTAGTGACCGTCCACCCATGAGAAAGGGGCAGGGACGCGGGTCCGCTGTTGGTGCAAAGACGCAACAACGGGATGGACCGTCAAAAAACGGACAGGATCAGTAGGTGCGGAGCACCCTACTGGTCCAGCAATGTCAAGAGAATTTGTAGGCCTCTTGATGAAGGTTGCTCCCAACACACAAACGTTGTGCGTTGCTGCTCTAGGTAATGAGGTCTCACTCATTACCTTGAAACTCAAGGTGACGAATAAGTTGTACCTTCGAGCTTAAGTCGATTGTGGGGCGTCCAACAATTTTGTGCGATGCCAATCGCTAGAAGATGGTCACTTCAAGTTTGTTGAATGTGACACACCTCCTACAAGGATGACGGTACGTCTTGCGACAGGCGCATCCGTAACCGTCATGAAGCGTATAGTGAAGATCCACCATACGCTAGAAGATACCCAATATGACGATGACTTCATTGTATTGGATTTGGATGACAAATTTGATGTCATCCTTGGAATACCGTGGCTCAGAAGGTACGAACCACGGGTAAACTGGCAACATCGAACAGTAACGATGCCTGCCGCTTGCTCATCAGATGGTCATCTGATGAACGTTTTGGAGCGTCCACAAGCGTGTGGATGTACTACGAGTGAGTGCGATGGCCTCACTTGTGGTACGGTCGTTAGTACGACTGCACAAAACCTTAGTGTATCAAACGGTTACACTTCGGAGCAAAGTTCCGGCGGCTGTGAGGAAACACAAGCTGCGCCGAAGGTCCACCACTCGAATAAGTCGGGTGGACTGGGACAAAGATGTATCCCTAGCGGGGAACATCTAGAAGAGAAACAATCGATCGCTCAGGTTAAGCGAAACGATTATCCTAGATCGACTGGAGGGTCTTTCGTAGAGGATCTCGCTGTGGTTGCGCAACCCCAGCTAGAGGAAGTTAAGGGAATAAGTCCCAAGATTACAAATACGGCGGAAATAAGTTCCCCGAAACCCGAGGGAATAAGTCCCCGGGAAGCCGAAGGAATAAGTCCTTCGAGGCCTGAGGGAATAAGCCACCAGGAAATGACAGAGACATTGAATGTCATAGTCAATAACGGATCAAGTGTAGGCGCTTATACACTTGATCTGATTGCGCCTCCGAAGTTAACTTCGGAGATCACTCAGTTGCCAACGCTCGAACATAAAAGGTTCTTGCGTGATCTGCGTAGTGGCAAAGTCAAGCAGATCTGCATACTCGTCGCTGACGACGAGTGTGTATCCGACATAAGGTCAGCAACAGTGTTTACTGAGAACGAGAGAGTTCTCAGTAGTTCATCTATGGACGAGAGTGTCCTAGATGAAAAGACACGAGTTGAGCGATATGACTCCCAATCGTGGGAATCGCTCAAGACAAATCCTCTCTATGAAGATTTGGTTGAATTCAAGGACGTATTCCCTGAAACTGTTCCGTGCGAATTACCGAAGGATAAAGGTATTCGACACGAGGTCTAGCTTAAACCAGGCTTGAAGTACTGTGTCATGAAGCAGTGGCCACTGCCTCGTGAACAAGTACTTGCGATCGACAAGTCTTTTGCCGATCGTTTAGCTGCGGGCCATGTGAGGGAATCAACTTCCCCACATAGCTCTCCGACCTTCTGTGTGCGAAAAGCAACAGGAGGGTGGCGGATAGTGCACGCGTTCAACAAATTGAACGCTGCAACGGTACCGGCTCAGACGCCGATACCGAGGAAGGACGTAATCATTGATGGTATGTCAAAGAGTACCATCTTTTCGTCCATGGATTTGATGGATGGCTTCTATCAAATCCTGATGCGGGAACAGGATATACCCTATACCGCAGTTAGCACGCCTAGCGGCATGCTCTGGGAATGGCTAGTAATGCCACAAGGGCTCAGTAATGCCCCTGCCACGTTCAACAGATGTGTATCACATCTGTTGAGACCAGTACGAGAATTCGCGCCGAGTTATTTTGATGACGTATTCAGACATAGTCGGGCTATGAATGGAAAGTCGGATGTTGAGGTTTACAGGTACCACGTCCGACAGGTTCTTACAATCATGCGAAAGCATCAATTGTATGCAAATCTCAAGAAGTGTATATGCAGCAAGCGAAATACCACTTCTTGGGTGCATCGTTGGTAAGAACGGTGTACGTCCTGATTTCAAAAAGATCAAGGCGATCACCGACTGGCCTGTGCCAGTTGATGTCAAAAGTCTTCGAAAATTCCTTGGGCTAGCGGCGTATTTGCATCAGTATTCACGCAATTACGCCGAGATAACTGTAAACCTATCTCGTTTGTTGAAAAAGAACGAGAGGTGGTTATGGAACGCTGAATATCAACGCTCCTTTGAGGGTATCAAGCAGAGCTTGATACAATCCCCAGTCCTAGAAATAGCCAATCAGGACAGGCCATCCCATGTGGTCTGTGATGCCAGCGATTTCGCAATCGGCTGTGCATTAATGCAGTACGATCTTGAAGGCGTTGAACGCGTCGTCTGCTATCAGTCGCGTCAGCTGCAACCAGCTGAGCGGAACTATCCAGTGCATGACAAGGAACTCCTTGCCATGAGGTATGAACTCGCGAAGTTCAGAGTCGATCTATTAGGAGATAGAACCTTCATTGTTTACACTGACCATGCGTCATTACGCACGGCAGTGAACAGCCCGCACCTTTCACAACGAATGGCGCGGTGGTTGTCATTCTTTGAAGAATACAACTTTACGGTCGAGTACAAACCAGGACGACTTAATGTCGTCGCTGATGCACTCTCACGTCGTCCCTACTTTGAAACAGTCGCGAAACCCAACAGTGAGACAGTCACTGTTGCGGTTATGACGTCCTCAGTCCCATCTACAACGTTGTATGATGATGTGAGGCGGGCATACGCCCAAGATGGTGATATTGTGAAGTTGTTGACACATCTCTCCCAACCATCTTGAGAATCGTTGAAACGATTGTCGTTCTGCGTATCGATCTGATGCAGATCGATACACTACTCGTGACGGTTTACTGGATTATACAGCCGTTTCTGGTGACACACCACGTGTTGTCATTCCAGATGATACTGATCTGCGTTTGCGGATCATGTTCGAGTATCACGATGCTCCTATAGGAGGACATCGTGGCCGAGAGAAAACATATCTCACGGTGAGTCGAGACTTTTACTGGCCCCGCCAGTATCAGTTTGTGCGAAAGTATGTTCGCGCATGCGAAGTCTGTCAACGAGTGAAGTCAAGTCCTTCACTGCGTGCACCTTTACAGCCTCTACCGGTTCCGGCTGAGTGCTGGGAATCCATCTCAATGGATTTCGTCTTCGGGTTACCCAAAGACGCACGCGGGAATACGGGTACTCTCGTATTTGTTGACAGATTCAGCAAAATGGTACACCTTGTGGCTGCACCAGAGACAATCACGGCAAGTGGCTGTGCTTGTGTCTTTATCGACACCATCTTTCGACTTCATGGGTTTCCCCGTGAGCTCGTATCAGACAGAGATCCACGATTCACTGCTGATTTCTGGCGTTCCGTGTTCAAATCACTCGGAACGCGCTTGAAGATGTCAACATCTGATCATCCAGAGTCAGATGGTCAGACGGAACGTGCCAATCATGTCCTAGAAGAGATACTTCGAGGATACGTACACTCCTTTAAGAGTTGGAGTGAGTTTTTGCCAATGGTAGAGTTTGCCATTAACAACTCGGTGCATGCGTCCACGACACATACACCGTTTTACGTGAATGGCTTGCGCCATCCGCGTGTACCCACCTTACTAGAGTGTAACTCTGGTTTAAGGGGGGGAGGGACTCGCGCGAAGAAAAACCGATTTGGTTCACGCTCATCACGCTCTGACGAAGAAGTCATTGCGTTTGATGCCGATATCGATGACATCGATATCGAAGAAGATGATGCCAGTGAGAGTGCGGAAGCCCCCACTGAAGAAAAGGTTGATGTTGCTGCAGTGCGCTCATAGCACACTGAAGCTAACGAGTCATCAGATGAGTTCATACTGGCTCGTGAAACGGTAGTCCGTTTTGTGCAAGACTCCATCGCCGAAGCGGTGGATAAGCAAAAGCAAAACGCTGACAAGAATGGAAGGGCAAACACTCTTTTTTTTAATAAAGGTGACTTAGTCCTACTGTCGACGGTTAATCTACCAAAGCATGTAGTGACTAACTTGGGTAGCATTTTACTACTACCCAAGTACATTGGCCCATTTCGTGTATTGCACCGTCTAGACAATGCATACACGATCGAGTTGCCACGTAAGATGCGAACGCATCCCACGTTTTACGTTGTTCGGCTAAAGCCGTACCATCAGTACGCTGCTTCTTCCGATGAAGAACGCCCTTGCGCTCAAGCATCTCGCAGAGAGCCTTGTGCTCCCGATGGTGGGCATCAACAAGGGTCTGAAGAGCAGTTATCTCACCCCGAGACCGATCAACAATCCCACGAGCTACCCTTAGCTCGTCACGAAGAGATGTCAGAGCTCTCTCGTTCTCAAGATGAGCAAAGGCAAACTCAGCTCGGTGCTTTAAGACAGTGTCCGCCATTTGGAGACGCCTGTCCCGCTCATGTTCGAGATCGTTGCGTAACCCTTGCGTTACGCGATCAAAGAAGCTCTCGGGAACACACGGATCCACATGATCGTGTGAGGAGCGTCTTTCCTCCTCCTCCACCTCCATTAGAAGACTCTCGCGGCGGCCAGCGCTATCTAGTTGAGCAGCTGTTGAATCACCGCGACGTGAATGGACGTCGGACGAGTTAAGTCGTCCGGTGGCGCGGCTATCCCCCGTCCTGGGATTCTTGGGAGCCCCGCTCCCAACTGATGATCGACGTACTTGGTCTGGTTGAGCAGTACGACGCGGAACATCCTGTGCCGCAGAAGGACCGCCGGAGAAAGTCTTCCCGGCACGGTCGTAAAGGGATTTCAGGTTGTCAATCCCTTCGTACATCTCAGTAGAGATACGTACGCGCCACCACGGGCTGGTAAGGAGGCAAGTCTCCGTAGGCACGCGCGCGGAGTTGTTCACACAACATGGGCACGAGTCTCCCCAAGAGAGACAGGGTAATCCCTTCTCCCTTGACAGACGATGCAGCTTGTAGCGTGCACCTGTCGGGGTTCGCTTTTCAAACTTATCACGAGCTTTGATAAGTTTGTCGTTCCAAGCGTCACGACCTACATCCTCAAGGTTATAGATGTAGGCGTTCCACGCTTGAAGTAGTGAGGGACCATCACGTTTGTGATTCCCACTGTTTCCATCGATGTTTGAAGAAAGCATCGATGAAGAATTCATGTTCAGCGCGATAGTTTTTTGCGCTGGGGTCAAGGTGATGGATCCTTGACGAATCGAACAATCGTGTTCGATGTCGATCACTCGTCGTCGCCGACAAGTGATCCATGACAGATTTAGGAGGCGTCCATGCCTTCTTCTCAGAAGCGAGACGCAAGACATTGCGGTCCCGCTCTTCCTGCGACGTGCCGACAGAAGTACTGGCATCTCGCTGCGAAGTGGTGTCCATAAGAGAACCGACACCACTATTAGCGCCCGAGTCTCGCGACCTCGAGCGCCTTCGCTTCGGCGATGGTTCATCTGATTCATCAGATGAAGAAAGATGCTGCGACGCAAAGCATCATCCATGCCACGCTTGGCAGGCGGCTTAGATTCAATCGCCGTCGATACGGATCCGTCATCCGTATCAGGAGAGTACGAGACACCGAGCTCATACTCTGTGAAGACACGAGTGTCTTCATGACGAGCGCCTGCATCACCAGGTGACACAGACTGAGTCGCTTCAGCAACCGATGAGACATCAGTTGCTGTGGTTTCTGCGTCCGCACGTCTCCGTGCGGACGTGCTCTCGGCGGCCTTGCTCGCGCACCGCATGGGCTTGTTAAACATGCGATGAACTGTTGGAAAGTGGGCTCGGACAAACAAGTGCAAACCCTGTCCCAAATGATTTGGGACGAGTATCCATTTAGTCAATCTGTCACTAACGTGACTGATGGTTAGGGGGGGTGATGTAGCGGGATGAATCGTTACATGACAATTTATAAGAAATTGTTAATAGAATATAACTATAAGAGTTATATTCTCAGAATATGGTCATAAGGACAAATATTCTGTAGCACTTACTAGTAGTTCCTGATTGGTTGATATAGGCCATTATATCAACCAACGAAGACGTGCCACGACAGATGCACGCAATGAGTGGTGAGCAGATAACTGATTTACACATTTGTATTCAGACATAGTTAGATGAGGATAAATAGTGATGTATAGCAGACATTAACTATTATAAATACATTTTACTTTTTTTACTCTAACCAAGTACTCGCTTCTTCATACCGTCTTCCTCTGCACGTACGAGTGTACGTGAAGTTCCGAGGCACCGCCTTATTCTGTCATCAGAATAAGTAGCTTGTACTGTAATCAGTACAAGCTTCAGGGTGCCACGTAACATAACTCGTCCGACGTCCGTTCACGTCGCGGTGATTCAACAGCTGCTTAACTAGATAGCGCTGGCCGCCGCGAGAGTCTTCTAATGGAGGTGGAGGAGGAGGAAAGACGCTCCTCACACGATCATGTGGATCCGTGTGTTCCCGAGAGCTTCTTTGATCGCGTAACGCAAGGGTTACGCAACGATCTCGAACATGAGCGGGACAGGCGTCTCCAAATGGCGGACACTGTCTTAAAGCACCGAGCTAAGTTTGCCTTTGCTCATCTTGAGAACGAGAGAGCTCTGACATCTCTTCGTGACGAGCTAAGGGTAGCTCGTGGGATTGTTGATCGGTCTCGGGCTGAGATAACTGCTCTTCAGACCCTTGTTGATGCCCACCATCGGGAGCACAAGGCTCTCTGCGAGATGCTTGAGCGCAAGGGCGTTCTTCATCGGAAGAAGCAGCGTACTGATGGTACGGCTTTAGCCGAACAACGTAAAACGTGGGATGCGTTCGCATCTTACGTGGCAACTCGATCGTGTATGCATTGTCTAGACGGTGCAATACACGAAATGGGCCAATGTACTTGGGTAGTAGTTTACTGCTACCCAAGTTAGTCACTACATGCTTTGGTAGATTAACCGTCGACAGTAGGACTAAGTCACCTTTATTAAAAAAAAGAGTGTTTGCCCTTCCATTCTTGTCAGCGTTTTGCTTTTGCTTATCCACCGCTTCGGCGATGGAGTCTTGCACAAAACGGACTACCGTTTCACGAGCCAGTATGAACTCATCTGATGACTCGTTAGCTTCAGTGTGCTATGAGCGCACTGCAGCAACATCAACCTTTTCTTCAGTGGGGGCTTCCGCACTCTCACTGGCATCATCTTCTTCGATATCGGCATCAAACGCAATGACCTCTTCGTCAGAGCGTGATGAGCGTGAACCAAATCGGTTTTTGCTCGCGCGAGTCCCCCCCCCCTTAAACCAGAGTTACACTCTAGTAAGGTGGGTACACGCGGATGGCGCAAGCCATTCACGTAAAACGGTGTATGTGTCGTGGACGCATGCACCGAGTTGTTAATGGCAAACTCTACCATTGGCAAAAACTCACTCCAACTCTTAAAGGAGTGTACGTATCCTCGAAGTATCTCTTCTAGGACATGATTGGCACGTTCCGTCTGACCATCTGACTCTGGATGATCAGATGTTGACATCTTCAAGCGCGTTCCGAGTGATTTGAACACGGAACGCCAGAAATCAGCAGTGAATCGTGGATCTCTGTCTGATACGAGCTCACGGGGAAACCCATGAAGTCGAAAGATGGTGTCGATAAAGACACAAGCACAGCCACTTGCCGTGATTGTCTCTGGTGCAGCCACAAGGTGTACCATTTTGCTGAATCTGTCAACAAATACGAGAATACCCGTATTCCCGCGTGCGTCTTTGGGTAACCCGAAGACGAAATCCATTGAGATGGATTCCCAGCACTCAGCCGGAACCGGTAGAGGCTGTAAAGGTGCACGCAGTGAAGGACTTGACTTCACTCGTTGACAGACTTCGCATGCGCGAACATACTTTCGCACAAACTGATACTGGCGGGGCCAGTAAAAGTCTCGACTCACCGTGAGATATGTTTTCTCTCGGCCACGATGTCCTCCTATAGGAGCATCGTGATACTCGAACATGATCCGCAAACGCAGATCAGTATCATCTGGAATGACAACACGTGGTGTGTCACCAGAAACGGCTGTATAATCCAGTAAACCGTCACGAGTAGTGTATCGATCTGCATCAGATCGATACGCAGACGACAATCGTTTCAACGATTCTCAAGATGGTTGGGAGAGATGTGTCAACAACTTCACAATATCACCATCTTGGGCGTATGCCCGCCTCACATCATCATACAACGTTGTAGATGGGACTGAGGACGTCATAACCGCAACAGTGACTGTCTCACTGTTGGGTTTCGCGACTGTTTCAAAGTAGGGACGACGTGAGAGTGCATCAGCGACGACATTAAGTCGTCCTGGTTTGTACTCGACCGTAAAGTTGTATTCTTCAAAGAATGACAACCACCGCGCCATTCGTTGTGAAAGGTGCGGGCTGTTCACTGCCGTGCGTAATGACGCATGGTCAGTGTAAACAATGAAGGTTCTATCTCCTAATAGATCGACTCTGAACTTCGCGAGTTCATACCTCATGGCAAGGAGTTCCTTGTCATGCACTGGATAGTTCCGCTCAGCTGGTTGCAGCTGACGCGACTGATAGCAGACGACGCGTTCAACGCCTTCAAGATCGTACTGCATTAATGCACAGCCGATTGCGAAATCGCTGGCATCACAGACCACATGGGATGGCCTGTCCTGATTGGCTATTTCTAGGACTGGGGATTGTATCAAGCTCTGCTTGATACCCTCAAAGGAGCGTTGATATTCAGCGTTCCATAACCACCTCTCATTCTTTTTCAACAAACGAGAGAGGTTTACAGTTATCTCGGCGTAATTGCGTGAATACTGATGCAAATACGC